AAATAGGAAAGTTGTGTGAGTAGTACTCTGATATGATTAGGAGCAGCAATAATTTGTGCTCGCAGCGGTGTCATCAGTAAATACATAACACTGCATAACAAACACTGTCAGTCTTTATCAAAATAAACTAATAAACTGTGTATCTCCCAGGATCCAGTTCACTTTGGAAGCAGAATCAGACGTCGGTCAACTAGCGTTTCTAGACTGCCTAGTTAAGAGAAAGGAAAACGGACATTTCAGTATATCCATATTCAGGAAGAAAACCCACTCCAATAAATATTTAGACTTCAGATCATCACAGCCCATCAGCGCAAAGATTTCAGTCGTCTCAAGTCTTCTTAGACGAGCACACTCTTCGATGTTAACGGATGAGAAAGAAAGAGAAGAAGAAGAAATATCAAACATTACTGAAACTCTCAAGCAAAACAACTACCCAAGGAATTTCATCAACAAAATTAACACAGATTTCAAGTATGGTCGAAAACGCATTCCTAAAACATGGAGATCAACAGTCATTCCATATAGAGCAGAGACATCAGACGATATTAGAAGAGTACTCAATCAGCTCGGCATTAGAGTTTTCTTCAAAACACCAGACACACTTCAAAGCAACCTTGTCCATATAAAAGACCGAATCCCGAAAGATTCTCCATCTAATTCTGTCTGTAAAATAAAATGCTTGGAATGTTATGCGATCTACATCGGACAAACATCTCGAGAAATCAAAATCAGAAGAAATGAACACCGTAGAGTATCTTCTCGACCACCGATAAATAAATCCAGATGAACTAGAAAAACTTGAAAAATCACCAGACATAAGCTCGTCTACATGCTATAGAATCAGGCCACAAATTGATTTTGACAATATTGAAATAATCCAGAAAAAGCAATTCAGAAATCACAAAGAACGTCTAATATCAGAAGTACTCCTTATCAAGTGGAATCCAAATTGTCTGAAATGAATAGGAATGATGGACTAAAACAGAATCTGACCTGGTTACAACACCTCCCTCCCCTCCTCAACGAAGCGACAAAATCAACACGAATATAATAAGCAAGTTCACTGTGTAAACACACACTACTTTTATAATTTTACACACTGATAAAATCCAACAAGCTACACTTGATTTTGTTATCTTTACCAATTCATCAACTTGACAACCAAAAATGACCCCAGACAGACAAACGATGATCAAGTTAGCAAACTTTGTTTTGATATCATAGCAGACGTACTATTACCTTTGTTATTTGGTTTAGTGATCTTCATTGTTATTTGGACTGTCAATATGCCCCTTTGACTTGAACTAAGTCTATATTTTGGTTTAATTATAACTTTGATAAAGCTATTAGCAGCATTAAATAGCAAAACGTCAGTACGAGCAACAATATCGTTTTGTTTTTCATTCATTGGGAAATACAAAAAAACCTTTATTATAATGAAAATCATATACGCAATGCCCAAAATTTTTCAAACCGTTAAAAGTGAACTTGGTTTGGACCTATATAACTTTGTACATTTCCCATTGAAATGGCGAAAATCCATCAATGCAAAATCAGGGAACACAACATCTCTGTGTTCTATGTTAAATTACAAGGCAGTAGGCGAACAAATGTGTGTGTGTGTGTGGTAAGGTTGTAGTTGAAATTTGCAAACAAACATTGTACTTCATTTTTGCCACAGTAGTGAAACTGTTACTATACACACATGCACACACGTGTGTTTCTTGTTTTTTTTACTAATGAAATAGGATTTTGATATTTTGTTGTAGACAATTTAATTTTGCGCATACATATATATTCAATATATGAAGGCCTGATGATGATTAGATAACAGAGGGAGAGAGAGAGAGAGAGAGAGTGAAATGTCCTTAAAAGCTGTACAAACTATAAAATTTTCCATATCGTATCCATTTACAATGAATGAATGACATTTATTCACAATGCTACCAATATTAATCTTACTGACTTACTTTATTTTCCAGATCTCTTTTTTTTAGTGGTTATATGACACATGCAGAAAAGGAAGATCTCGAAACATTAGTGTAATTTCGTGCTGACTTTCTTTTATTTACATTCATGTGAACATAATAATTTAGGAGACATTGGTATTAATCATATTTATGCTGTTTGAAATTACACTGACTCAGTAGGAAGTATCAATAGATGGCTGGCCATTTGATCTTCAGCGAAGTATTGCGAGAAGACAACTGTTGACGAAAGAAGGTCTGTAGTTTTTTCGAAGAGGCCTTCGTGATGCGGCACGACGCCGCGCCAACTCTCTGATCCATATTTAGTAGCGCCGTCTTCACATTCCAGTTGAAAACCTGCATCTTATACTGCAGACTGAGGAGTGCTGTTCATTTTTACACACACACTTGACGAGAGTAATGGAAGCCTGACTTGCTTTCCCAATCCTCGCTCAAGTATCCTCATCAGTTCCATCCGCCAGTAGTTGGAAGGATGCTTCCCTGGTAGGTACGTAGGTGGGTAGGTATATAGTTAGGTTGCTGGGAAGGTAGGCAAAGGAGGTGGCTTCTTTCAGAATCCTCTCAGTTATGCTGATTATTGTCTGTTGTTGCTGTTGCAACTGCAGTTGGCCAGGAATCCTAATCATCACCACATCTGTTTTCTCTATGTTCACCTGAAGGCCTATCTTCGCTGGATGATTCTTCTGCCAACTCGTTGCTTTCCACTTCCCTATCTTCCAGTTTGTTGGAAATAAGAGATATATCATCGGCGAAATTGCGATCCAGATCATCGAAGTTGTTTTTGTTCGGGTCAGTTTTATGCCTGTCTCCTCGTTGCTTTCTGTGTGTCTGTCGTATTGTCCAGTCTTCCGGAATGAGGAAATTAATTGTTGGAGATAGCAGTAGACAGCCAGCCAGTCTTGTCTTATTCCTGTCTTCACTGTGAAGGATTCCATGAGTTTCGCGTTGTGGATAACTTGGCATGAAGCATTATCGTACAACTTCTGGTTGTAAATTACTTTCGAATTGTTGTCTTATATGTAAGGGCTTCTTGTTAGCAGACAAAGAAGAAATATTACATTTACTATTACTTTGTTATTCACATTATTCTCGAAAATAATACGTAAAAACAAAACGGCAAAGACAAATGTGAATGAAAATACTAACGTTATTGAAGAAGATACGTGGAGTTTCATTTACTTTGTCGTCCATTCGACTTTGACATTAGTCTATTTATAAATAGTACAATAACGTTCATCTGTTAACTTAGTATGAAAAAATATAATTCTGTTTGATTGGACTGGCCGTTAGATCTGGTCCCAGTGAGTGGCTGATTAGTGTTCTACGAGCTGGCTCGCCTTGTAACCAGAAGGTACTGGTTCTAACCCTGGCGGTGGGGTAGGTGGGTAGAGCTGAAGAGTCAGTCGCAAACTAGGCTGAGGAAACAACTGTTTGGTAGTACCCCCATGTGGTTTTCCAATGGTTTTCTAACTAACCGATGTCAGCTCATGATGAAATCCTCTAACCAATACTCATTCATACAATTGGTGGATGGTGGCTAGCAGTGGAATCCAGGATAACGCGCATTTCGTCCTATTTGGGACTCGTTAGCTGGATGTACCTGCATTTCTCAGTGAGTGATGATGTTCCCACCGAGGCTCGAACCCAGTACCCATAGTTTCAAACACCGGCCAAAGCGTTATCCACTAGACCACTTGGGCCACGAGAGCCACCTCTTGTGCAACGGGTCATATATTAATTATTGAATTGAATTTTTGATTTTCCCGTCGATTGATTGGACCGAAGTGCTCCGTCTCAGGTTGACATGTCGGCTTCTTGTTCAGATGCTTCGACGATGTCTGGGTATTTAATTAGTATACAATTGGTGGATGGTGGCTAGCAGTGGAATCCAGGATGCGCATTTCGTCCTAATTGGGACTAGTCATCTGGATGTACCTGCATTTCTCAGTGAATGATGATGTTCCCACCGAGGCTCGAACCCAGTACCCATAGTTTCGAACGCCAAAGCGTTATCCAGACATCGTCGAAGCATCTGCACAAGAAGCCGACATGTCAACCTGAGACCGAGCACTTCGGTCCAATCAATCGACGGGAAAATCAAAAATTCAATTCAATAATACTCATTCATGGTTAAAACGATGATGCTTAGATAACTAAAGGAAGTGACCTCTTCCTAATTTATCTCACTGATATTGATTGACGGTTGTTGTTGTTAGTTGGTTAGTTATCTTCATCACAACCATCTTCTCTGAATTCCCTTGAATTCCTGACTTTTCTTCTTCCCTCCTTGTTATCAGATGCTGCCGTTGTGGATCACTTCACAGGTGGCACTGGCATATCTCTGTTGAATGAGGTAAGAGGTATATATGAATAGATTGTTACAGGATTAAGAAACAGTTGTGCGATTTGTTCAGTATTATCCCACACACACACGTTTTGAATTGTAATCTGTCAACAATGTATTCGCAGATATATCCTGGAATTTTGATGTCAGTGTCCACCGACGTACCATGAGTTTGACTTTTTAAGAACCTGTTGTGTTGAAAGCAACTTGCTGTAGTTCTTCTAAGAACTGATCCACGAGATGCATTTACAGTGTACAGCCTTCTGTTAAAGTGTAATCAGGTCAGCAAGTATATGTTAAAAGCCTATGTATACAAAAAAGGAGAATGTAAGCGTAATAACAAGTCATTCATATACCCATACCAAAAAGAGACGGAATAAGCCTGTGATCCGTTTTTCCCCAAGCTTATAAACGTTATTTTCCGACAGAGAGTATTGAAACAAACTTTTTAAAGATTTAGAGTAGGAATTAAAAAAAAGGGAGGAAAACACCCATTGGTCCAAGGTTAAACAAACAAGGCTGTCCAATAAGGTTATTTCATGACCATAGTGGAAACTAAATCGAAATTTGAGGAATAAACTCTTCCACCTGTCCTGTAACTATTGTCTTTCAGTATTTTGATTTCAGTTTCGGCTGCTTTCTATCACACTCTACATCATGCCACAGTAATGCTAACTACTAATACTAATACTACTACTAATACTACTACTACTACTACTACTACCACTACTACTACAACTGCTACTACTACTACTACTACTACTACTACTACTACTACTACAACAACAACAACAACAACAACAACAACAACAACAACAACAACAACTACTACTACTACTACTACTACTACTATTCGTGATGACCACGAGCAGAACATTCTGTTCTCCATACAACATAATGTTGAAACAATGAAATCAAAAAGGAATAATTTTTTAAAACCTACTTTTATTCCCAAAGAAATCCGACTCTAAAATGAGTTAATATGTTCATAATAAACAACTGAACACATGATAAACACACTGACTACATGTCAAGTGTTGATTTGTAGCGATTTGAATGATTAACAGAAGTTTGAATTCATGCACTGACTGGCCATTATATCTGGTCTCAGTGAGTGGCTGACTAGTGTTCTACGAGCTAGTTCGCCTTGTAACCAGAACGACGTGAGTTCTGACCCTGGCGGTGGTGTGAGTGGGTGGGTGATGCTGAAGAGTCAGTCGCAAACAGCTGTTTGGCAGTACTCCTGTGGTGAGAGCAGGCTGCTAGTCAATCGGTCGACATTAATCTACGTCAATGTCTCGGTCACTAATATTGGCCGTGAGAAAATATAAACAAGGCTGATTCCACAACCAATCACAGCAGACTTAAGCGTGGGAAAATATGATTCCCGGATAGATGGCTCCACTTTCCGAGAAATCTCGAAAACAACCAATCAGAAGACTGCGTTTTTCTGCTTAACTTCCGAGAAACAACCAGTCGGAAGACTGCGTTCGTCTACTTGAATAAGCTATGATAATGTACATGAAATATATATAAATACGTGCACATTTCCGTAATAAAATGATCTGTTGCCGGCCCTTGTCTTCTGTTGCTACACTCTCATGTGGACAATTACTGCAAATGATGTTGTGGAATAAGGTTTCCAAATGTCTTTGTATCGGTGAATTTATGGGCTACTGAAGATGAATCCCGTCATAACAGTAGAGTACATCCACATTTTCACGTTCTACATGGCTAACGCCAAACAAAGTTGTATTAAGAAGCACAAGTGAAGACTTGAAGTGATATATTGTTTCGATAAAGAAAGGAAGACGAAATTTGAAGTACAAAATGATACCGTCATTCTATTTCACAGGTTCACATTAGCTACACAACCCTACCTCAAATTATAATGCTTATATAGATGGTAATAACATACTTTAATGTTTAAATGATAGTAGAGAAGAAATACTATAAATTTGATTCATCCAAAATGTAAGCATTACAATTTGTAGTTAAAGTTTTCATCATCAATTTATACACTTTGAGAGTAGAAAAGAGGCGGTAGGGGTAAGACAGGAAACAGAAAAAAATTAATAAAGAGAACAGTGTTAGCTTGTAGCTTGTCCACATAGAAACTCAAAAAAAAAGAAAAGAAAAGAAGAACAGAAGCGGTTACAGTTTATAAGATTGAGATTTGTTCAGTGAGTTGAGATCACTGAATTAGATGATTAATCGATGTAAAATTTAATCAAAATCAAAATTCTGTTACCAAGGGAGTGAGAGATTGATCACACTCTCTTTTTTTGTAGGTATATGTCTGTTTTGAATTGTTTTAATTGCGATTGCTTCGGCAAATCGTAGTAAATTTGCTGTCCTTTGTCTATTTAATATTTTTTGAATGACTTAGAAAACTCCGCGAGATGTCCGGTATCACTCTGAGAATACTTGCTTTCTTTCAGGTACAGGTTTCTTGAAATATGTTCAGAGAAATGTTCCAGTTTACGTTCTGCCGCAGGTACACGTAAATTTATAAATGCAGTTGGAGGTGACATCAGCAGGGTATTTATCCAGTATTGAGTGACTTATAGAAGAAGTGGTGTTGTATAATGTTATGAGTTTAGCTGTAGTTGGGAAGCTTCTTTTTATTACACCTTTCATTCTCCCGTCAATCTGTTGTGACACTGCATCTCCTATGAATGGGAGACAAATAAACACTTTCTTCTTTTCTACAGTTGGGTGTTTTGCTTTCTTATCTTTTTCTCTGCTATACTTTTGTATAAATCTCTTTGGATATGCATTTACTCTTAGGCATTTCTCAACGAAACCTAATTCTTCTTCGACCTTGTTTGGTGAACATAGCTTCCTGGTTCTGTCGTACAAAGTCCTCACTAATCCACGTTTATAGCTTATGGGACAAAAGCTGTTATAGTGGAGATATTTCCCAGTCCATTTTTCTTTTTTATAGATGGACTTTTCGATCGTACCTTCGTTTGTTCTTTCTATATTTAGATCCACGAAACTGAATTCATTATTATATTCATGTTCCATGGTGAATTTGATGTTTGCATGGATCTCATTGAGGTGACTATATAATGCTGATGCATGATCCATGTCGTTGCAAACGACAAATGTATCATCAACATATCGGTGATAGTAGGTTGTTCCATTGATAGCAGAGCTCAGTTGTGTCTGTTCGAGGTAGCCCATGAAAATATCAGCCAGAATAGGCCCTAGAGGTGAACCCATTACGACCCCATCAATTTGTCGCTAAAGTTGGTTGTTAAATTTGAGTTATATATATCTTTTGTGCAAAGCAGCAGTAGTCACTTCACCTCTGTTTCAGGTAATGGTAGTAGATCCGTTTGTTTACAAATGATGTCAATTGTTTTGCATCAGTGGTACGTTTGTTAACGAAATCGAATCTCGAAAAACGCGATTAAACGAACGAAAAGTGTAAAACCCCGTGTCACAAAGTCAAAGCAAATATTCCACTAGCATATGTGAAAATTAGCTTTTGTAAGTGAGTGTTTATTGTTTTACGAAATATAGGATTTCATAAGTCACTTATTACAACCATACTATGCATCATATAGTTTATTGTATAGGTTGGTCATAATGTATTACCCTTCCTTATTACTACTATATATTGGAAAACCAATTTCAAATTATCCAGTTTATTGTAACAATATCTGCAAAGTGTCATTGAAATTACCTCAAACTGTAAAATGACAAATAGCAGTCTCAAAATATTTCCACTGCAACTGTTCTCTAACTTCATTTTAAAATTGTTTACATATAATTCATCTTAATTATTCTACTGAAACTATTATTTGGCTTGCTAGTTTTCCAGCCAGTATCAAGCCTGGATAAACAGAGAGGGTTGGGGCGTGATGCCAGCAACTCCACCCCCCTTCCCCGTAAAACAAACAAATCGCTACAGAAACTTCAACGAATAAATATATTAAAAATTCTAAAAACATAAACAATAGCCTTATTTTTCGCTGGAATCGGGGAAGACAAATGACGCAGGCTGGTGAAAGCCAGCCTTCGGGAAGCCAGTCAGCCGATGTGCCTTCTTTCGATGAAAGCAAAAGTAAGGATGGGTACCTGGAATGTTCGTACAATGTACGAAACTGGAAAGGCTGCCCAGATAGCCGCTGAAATGAGAAGGTACAGAATAGAAGTGTTGGGAATCTGCGAGAGCAGATGGAACGGAACTGGAAGGTGCCAACTACCTACTGGAGAGACAGTAATGTATTCCGGCCACCCAGAGGACAACCACGAGCACACCGAGGGAGTGGCCATCATGATGTCACCAACAGAAGCCAAAGCTCTCATGCAGTGGGAACCAATCTCCTCCAGGATAATGACAGCGGGAAGGAAAGTTACAGTCATTCAATGTCAATGCTATGCGCCTACAAACGTCTCAGAACAAGAGAAGAAGGAGGCGTTCTACAGACAACTACAAGCAATAATGGACAACGTCCCAAATGGCGATATCAAAATCCTGATGGGCGACATGAATGCGAAGCTGGGAGGAGACAACACAGGAAGAGAACTCACCATGGGTCGAGAGGCCCTCGGTGAAATGAACGACAATGGTGAACTCTTCTCAGACTTCTGCGCCTTCAATGATTTGGTGATTGGTGCAGCGTTTTCAAACACAAGGATATACACAAGACGACATGGATTTCACCAGATGGAAACACCAAAATCCAAATAGACTTCATCTCAATTTCAAGAAAGTGGAGACGGAGCCTACTGGACACAAGGTCGAGGAGAGGAGCAGATGTGGGTTCAGACCACTATCTAGTACAAGGGACTTTCAAGGTGAAACTAAAAGCCTCGAGGATAGCTGGGGATAGGCCACAATGCAAGTTCAACACTCAGTTAATGAAGGACACAACCACAAAACACTTCACTGCAACTGTCAGAGCAAAGCAGGAAACACTACGCGACATCACTGAAGAATCATGCGTGGAAGAACATTGGAAGTCTCTGAAGGCGATTCTCAACGAAACGTGTTCAACGGTTCTAGGAAGAAAGAAGAGACAAGACAAGGAATGGCTCTCAACGGACACTTGGAAATTAATAGAAGAGAGGAGAATGGTGAAAGAGAAAATGATTCAATGCAAGGACGGACAGGAGAAGGAGACGCTGAGCTCAGCTCAACATACACAGCTGCACTGGACAAAGAAGTGAAGAAGAGAGCTAGGAAGGACAAAAGACGATTCTACGACAACCTGGCCACTGAAGCTGAGAAGGCAGCAGGCAAAAGGGACCTGAGGACATTACATCAGATAACCAAATCTCTATCCGGGAAGAGATCAACACAAGCGAAACCTATAAAAGACAGCCAAGGGAACCCAATTACCAAGGAAGAAAGACAGATTAAACAATGGGCGGATCACTTCAAAGGACTCTTGAACCGACCATCACCTGCAACCCGTCCAGAAATACCAACAACAGCGCACACACAACTGCAAGTTGACACCAATCCTCCAACGAGAGCTGAAGTCTTGAATGCAATCAAGCTTCTGAAAGCTGGAAGAGCAGCTGGACCAGATGGAATACCCCCTGAAGCACTGAAAGCGGATCCAGAGACGACAGCAGACATGCTGACTCACTCCATTATTGCGAAAGGTCTGGAAGGAGGGAAAGGTGCCTACTGACTGGAGGAAAGGTTACCTCGTGAACTAACTATCAAAGAAGGGCGACTCAGGCCTCACTCTGCAAGAACTGGCGAGGAATCACGTTCCTGTCGACGCCAAGTAAAATCCTGAGTCACATCATCCTGGAGAGATTAAAGGACGCACTGGAGACAGAACTCCGACCAGAACAAGCTGGCTGATTCAGGAAAGTCAGGCAAATCATCTTCTGACCAAATTGCAACTCTACCCATCATCATCATCACCACAGAACAAAGCATGGAATGGCCATCAATCAAACCTCAACTAGCTCAACTTTATAGACTTTGAGAAGGCCTTCG